CCCCCCCCCCACCAAAAAGTCCTGAGGCAGATTAATACTGAGGTCATTTTGGTCATTACAGGTAAAAACTTTACAATTTTTTTTTTGGTACCGGGGATTGAACTCGGGACCTTGCACTTGAGAGGCAGGCACCAGAACCACTGAGCTAAATCCCCGGCCCAACTTTACAATTTTTAAAGTCATTCTCACTGGAAAGGTGATCCTCAAAATTTCCTGTTAAACTTTAAACAATTTTAGTCTTAGTGCAATGGGAAGCCATTGGAAAATTTCGAGAAGGGAGTTGATACATGATTCACATTTTTTGTTTGCTTTTTTTTTTTTTTTTTGAGATAGGGTCTTGCTGTATAGTCCTGGTTGGCCTTGAACTCACTGTATTGGCCAGGCTGGCCTTGAACTTGTGGCAATCCTCTTGCCTCAGCCTCCCAAGTGCTGAGATCACAGATGTTCGCTACCATGCCTGGCTTATGACGGATGTTTTTTTCCACATTACTGACAATACATTATAGGGAGGAAAAGGATGGACAGGGAGACAATTAATAGGGTATTGCAGCTAGTTATGGTTGTGCATGTCTGTAATTACACTACTTGGGAGCTGAGGCAGGACGGTCTGGAGCCCAAGGCCAGCTTGGGCTATGTAGCAAGAGCCTATTTCTAAATAAGTACACAAATAAGTAAATATTGCAATAATCCAGGTGATACATAAGGTTGCTTTGAACAAGGGTAGCAGTAGTGAAGAAAGTGGAAAATGGTCAGGTTCTCATAGATTGGATGTTGGTGTTTTTTGGCTTTTTTTTTGTTGTTTTTTTTTTGGTACCAGGGATCGAACTCGGGTCCTTGCGCTTGCAAGGCAAGCGAGGGAACCACTAAGCTAAATCCCCGGCCCAAAGAGAAAACTGCTATGTAGGAAAGGCAACTGCACACCTGCACTCTGACTTCTTTTTTTGGTACCGGGGATCGAACTCAGGACCTTGCTCTTTCGAGGCAGGCGACGGAACCGGATGTTGGTGTAATGAAAGGGAAACAGAAGAATCTGTACAGAATAACAAGATTTTTGGTCTAAGGACCTGAAAGAATAGAGTTGTTATTTATGGAGCTAGCAAAGACTATGAAGGGAGTATTTTGGGAGAAGGAGGAATGGAGAAGCTCAGTTTGAGCATGTAGATTTGCAGTGCCTGGTTGACCTCCAAGTGGAACTGCAGAATAGGTGGGTGTATATTTAGGATTCTGGAGTCCAGAAGAAAGTGGCATGGAGGTATAATTTGGGAGCTAGTGTATGAAACGGTCCAGCTTTTTCATGCTCACTATTGTGGGAGTAACCAGAGTCACTTAGTAAACAGGTTTTGTAGCTGAGCTCCTGCTTGGTGTGAGGCACTGCACACAGGCTTTAGGCTTCGGTAGTGGAAGGCAGAGGGTACTATTTATGGAAACGGAAAACACAGGAAGAGACTCACTTCTGGGAAGAAGTTGTTGGGATTCTTGTTGGACACGTTGCGTTTGCGAGGTCTGTGGAAGTGGCCAGGAAAGGGCTGTCTGTAAGGCAGTGAAGCTCGGGGGACAGGTCTGGACTAGAGACCAGGGGTTGGCAATGGAATTCACAGAAGTCCTTGAAACTGGCCCCAAAGGGAGAGTGAGTCCGGGCTACCGGGAATAGAGATGACACATCTTCCCATATTCTCTTTTTTTTCCTCTGTAAGCGCCTGTAGTCATCACAGAAAAGCCCTGCCGAAAAAATACTTTATTTCTCTGAGCTCCTCCCATCTTCCTGAGAGTGCGGCTGCGGGGAGGAGCCCAAACCATACCCCGCTGGGGCGGGGCTGAGCTGCGGTGACGTCACCGAAGGGCTGGTTCTCCAGGCTCCCCGCCCCTGGGTGAGCCGGGCGGGTGCCTGGGGCGCGATCCAGGGCTGTGCTGAGCCGCGTTCCCGCTGCGCGCTCTTCTCGCTGCCGCAGTTCTCAGGCCAGCTGCAGCAGGCCCTGCCCGGCCAGCAGGTCCTCGGTGCGGTTGTAGACCTGCTCCAGGGTGCCGGCGGCCCCGGCCAACGCAGCTCGCGCGTCCGCCTCTCCGGCTGCTGGACACGCCAGCTCGAGCAAGCGGTCGCGGCTCGGGAGGGCGAGGAACGCGAGGCGGGCGGCCTGACGGATGAGCCAGGGGTGGTGCGGGGCCAGGGCGGTGCGGTAGGCGTCGCCACACTGCACGCCCGCATCGGGGCCTCCGAGCGTCCCTGTCGCCACCCGGTGGAGGCAGAGCTGGGACCAGCGCAGCGCGCGGTGCAGCAGAAGCAGCGTCCTCGAGCCGGAGGCCTGGGCCGAGTCCCGGGGGGCGGTGCCGGGCTGCTCCAGAAGCCCCACGCGCCGCTCCCACGCTGCCATGGTCGCCAGCGACGTGTAGTGCGCGGCGTCTGGCCCCAGCACGCGAGCCTCGAGGGCTGTCACCTTGATGAAGGCCTCGCTCGTGGCGAAAGCGAAGATGGAGCCCAGGGGAGTTAGGAACCTGTGTGTTTGGTGGGGGGTGGCGATGGTTTGGGAGAGGGCGAGGGAGCCTCGGGGAGGCAGGGACTTACTGGCTTTCGGGAGGGAGGCTGCTCACCTGACGAGTTCCCTCCATCCTGCCAGGTACTGCGACAACTCCACATCCCCTTCGGGCTTCAGACTGGCTCCGAAGGACCTTCTTATCCGGCCCAGCATGCCCTGAGGCCCCAGACATGGGGGCTCTTTCCAACCTGGGGCTGCCAGGGGTCCCGACTCGTGCCATGCCTAGGGGTAGATGTAAGGGGAAGGGGGCAGGAGCAGAGCCCCTAGCCTGCTGGACCAGCTTAGCCAGCAGCCCCGCTGAGCTCTGAAGAAATTGTTTCTAGGTTCTAACTGGGGTCTCTCCTGCAGTACTCACAGCTTCTGATGGGTGAGGGAAGAGAAGGGAGAGGACCCACTCCATCAGATCCTCAGTTGGCTCCCTTCCCCCGTTCAAGGTTCTATCTGGAGCTCCCAGGCCCAGCCCTGTCCGGAGCGTACCTTGAAGGGCAGCGGTCCTTCCGGAGTGCAGGACTGTGCTTCGGGCCTGCAGCCTGATAGGAAGCCTGGGGACAGCGAAGCGGAGCGGTAAGGACTCCAGAAGGGGGCTTGAGTTCCCAAGGCTTAGACTCCTGGGCTCTTGCCTGAGCAAATGAGAGAAGGGGCCACTCACGGAGGATCCGATCGCTCAGATAAAGCATCAGCACGAAGACAGCAAGAGCAATTGCGTGTCGGAACCAGCGCCGCAGAGCCGGGGGCGGCGGCGCGACCCCCATAGCTGCTGCTGCAACACCAGCCTAGAGACTGTCGGTGTCCCCTCGACTCCACGGAAAAGAAGCCTGCGGTCCCCTAACGCGCAAAGGGTTAATAATTAACCTGTTAAGGCCCCCTTCCCTGTGTCCTTTGCCCTAGAGGGCAGCTAGCTACCCCGGGATGAGGGACAGAATAAAGATTTGGGGGTTTTGACAGCAGTGACTATCCCTGCGTTTCCTTTTCCTGTGCAGCCAGCTTGGAGTAGCCTGGGTATTGGAGAGGCTGGGGTGAGAACCAGCTCCCCTACTGGGCATGGTGTGGGCCCAAAGTTAACTGTGGGCTTGGGTTTCCTCCACCGTAAATTGAGGATAATAATAGGTACTTTGTAACGTGAGGGTTAAGATAATGTATGTGAAAACACTGTAAATGGAAAAGCTGACCACAATTGCCTCATAAATCTTACTAAGTTGAGGAGGGGATCTTTTTGGGATTCTAAAGAACACCCAGGGCCTTTGCACTAAACTACACCCCCAGTTTTTTGTTTTTGTTTTTTTTTAGACTGAGTCTCACTAAGTTACTAAACTGCCTAGACTAGGCTCAAATTTACAGTTTACCTGCCTCAGCCTCCCAGAATGTCCCAGTGGTGGGATTATAGGTATGTGCCACCATGTGGTCGTTTTGGCAGCACATATACTAAAGTTGGAACAGTATGTGCCACCATGCCTAGCTAGGAACACTCACTTCTAACTTCTCTATCCTATCCCCAGTGGACCTTGTCTTTTCTTTCTTTCTTTTTTTTTGGCGGTACCAGGGATCGAACTCAGGACCTTGCACTTGCAAGGCAGGCATGGTGCCACAGAGCTAAATCCCCTGCTCAACCTTGCCTTGATCTGGATCTTGATCATGTACAAGGTGTGATTGAAAACTATGGTGAATATTTAAATTTTAAAAATTTATTACATTAAGGCCAGGCATGGTGGCACATGCCTGTAATCCCAGTACTTGGAAGGCTGAGACAGGAGAATTGTCATGAGTTCAAGGCCAGCCTGGGATACACAGTGAGATCAAGGTCAGCCTGAACTACATAGTGAGAGTCTGTCTCAAAAAGCCAAAAAAAAAAAAATTACAGTTAAAAAAAATACTATTAATTTCCCTCAAAATACTTCCCCTCTCAGGCTGAGCATGGTGGCACACACGTGTAATCCCAGCACTCATGAGGTTGAAGCAGGAGGATCACCTTGAGTTTGAGGCCAGCTTGGTCTACATAGTGAGTTCAAGGCCAGCTTGAACTATGTAGCAAGACCTTGTCTCAAAAAAGGGAAAAAACAACAACAAAACCACACCTTCTCTTTAAACACATTTATTCCCTCATTCTTGCCATTTTCTTTTTAAAAATTTAACTCACTTTATTATCTTTTTTTTTTTTTGGTACCAGGGATCAAACTCAGGACCTTGTGCTTCGGAGGCAGATGGTGGCACTACTGAGCTAAATCCCAGGCCCTATTATAATTCTTAAAATTTCTTTTTATTATTATTATAATTCTTAACATACTTGTACTAATTAATGGCATTCACTGAAAATGCAATCATTTTTTCAGTTTTCATCCTTAGCAGTTAATTTTGTTAATTTTTGAATAGCTGTTGGTAACAATCTCTTTGTAATGTCTGGAATCTATTCAGCTGTGTTTTTTTTTTTTTTTTTTTGGTATGGGGGATCGAACTCGGGACCTTACGCTTGCAAGGCAGGCACCGGAACCACTGAGCTAAATCCCCAGCCCTCAGCTGTGTTTTTAAATTCTTGATATGGATTACTTGTATTTTCCCCTTTTTTCTTTTTCTTTTCTTTTTTGTTTTCGTTTTTCAAGACAGGGTCTCATGGGACGTAATGTGCTAAAAGTTAAAAAAAAAGGGGGGGGCGGGGATTTAGATCAGTGGTTCTGCTGCCTGCCTCACAAGCTTGAGGACCCAAGTTCAATCCCTGGTACCAAAAAAAAAGAAAAAAGACATGGTTTCACTGTGTAGTTCAGGCTGGTCTTGAACTCATTACGTAGCCAATGCTGGCCTTGTACTCTTGGTGATCCTCCTGCCTCAGCCTCCCCAGCGCTGGGATTACAGCTATGCACTGCCATGCCTGTCTCATTCCTCTTTTTGTCTCGATAAGTCTTGCTAGGTACATATCTACTTTATTGATTTCCTTTTTCTGTGCTGGTGATTGAGCCCCAGACTTTCACATTGAGCTACATCCTAGTACTTTTTATTTTATTTATTTATTTTTGAGACAGGATCTTGCTAATTTGTCCAGGTGATACTTGAACTTGGATCCTCCACCCTCTGCCTCCTACGGGCTGGTAGCTAGCTGGCTTTTTCTTGCCACTTTCTGAAGCAGTTCTGGAAGTCCTCTTTTATGTCTTTACTTACACGATCATGGCTGCCTCGGTGTTTTGAATCCATTAAAAATATTTACCTTTCATGGTCATTTTGACTTTAAGGAAGAGCCAGAAGTCACACAGTGCCAGATTTGTAGAATAAGGTAGATGATGATACACGGTAAGGTTTTCACAAGAATGCCTTTCTGTTGAATGGCACTTGCTAGCAGCATTCACCTGCCTTCCAGAACTGCTTCAGAAAATGGCAAGTTCTGGGTGTGGTGTGACACAGTGTAGTCTTAGAACTTGGAAGGCTGAGGCAGGAGGATTGCCACAAGTTTGAGGCCATCCTGGGTAACGTAGTGAGTTCAAAGCCAACCTGAGCTACATAGTGAGCCCTGTCTCAAGAAAATAAATAAAAATAAAAAGACAGAAAGTGGCAAGAATGATGAGATAAATGTGTTTAAGTAAGCAGGAGAATTTTGAGGAGAAATAATGGTAACATGTCTTTTCCTGTAATACAGTTTAAAAAATCATTGTATATTTAGATCATACCTTGTATGTTAGGCTTCAGCCTTTTATGTTCTGTGTCTTAATTTTTTTTTTTTGGTACCAGGGATTGAACTCTGGTCTTTGCGCTTTTGAGACAGGCGGCATAAACACTGAGCTAAACCTCTGGCCCTGTGTCTTAATTTTTTAAACTCTAGATTAATATTAATCTTTATTAATCACATCCAAATGCCAGACCTGTACTAGGCCTCCAGAATTCAAGTGTCTTCACAGAGCTCAAGAACCACTGAGGGAGAATTTTCCTTCTGTCTCCCCCACTGGAATGTGAGCTCTGATGAAGGCAGTTGCCTTGTTTTTCTTGTTTTCTTACAGCCCTTAAAATACTGGTTGGGCCCAAACACTTTATTGCTAAGTAAGTATATGTTGAGTAAACAAAGAAGTCATACCAGGCACAGGCAAACTCAGGTTTGGTGCACTAACAAATCCAGCCAGGTTTTGTTTTTTGTTGTGTAAATTAAGAGTCCACCTGGTGGTCATAGAAGGAAAAGCATTCTAGGAAAAGATGCAAGAATACAGGAAGCAATGAAAGAAACAGACTTTTTTTTGAGACAGTGTCTCACTTTGTAGTTTAGGCTAGCCCTGAACTCACTATGTAGCCCAGGCTGGCCTCAAACACACAGCAATCCTCCTGCCTCAGCCTCCCGAGTGCTAAGATTACGACCAGCGCCACCACGCCTGGTATGAAACAATCTTTTAAGGAGCTCTCAGTATCCTGTCCATAAATTTCTCAGAATTATTCCTGTTTCTCTGGGTATATCTGATGTTCCAGATTCTCAAAGGGTCAGTGCTCAGTTCTCTAAGAAGAGTCTCCCCAGCTCCTACAATTAATGGTTTGTTTTTTTTTGTACCAGGGATTGAACTTGGGTCCTTACACTTATGAGGCAGGCAGCAGAACCACTGAGCTAAATCCCCAGCCAATTAATGGATTTTTGCCCTGTGATCACTCTACACCCTCTCAAGGGGAGGCCCCTGGGTGGCTGCTGGATTCCCGTGAGATCCTTTGATCCCCAGCCGTGGTCCCCATTCCCAGTGCTGGAATACTTCTGTGTTTGTTGTCTATGACCTTAGGCAAGTCCCTTGTCATTTCTGAGCCCCACTTCCTTCATCTACAAAAAAGGGTAATTCTCATCTCCTCAAGTTGTTGTGAGAATTAAGTAAGATATGTCTGCAAAGAAAATGTTCCGTTTCAAGGGAGTTTTTAACTCCCTTGTTTTCACTGCTCCTTCTTTCTTAGCACCTGGAGCCTCTGCCACCCAGAGGGGGAATACAATTAGCCCATTTACTGGAGCAGATTAGTTTCAAATGTCTCTTAATCTCTGGGGCACTTCCTTAATCCGAGCCCTGGTGGAGATAGGGCTGGTATAAATCTGCATCAAGTTCCTGGTTCATAGACAAAGCAGGATGGGGCAGGACACTGGAGCCGGACTGCTGGTGTTGCTGTGTGCAACATCCTTTAGACATTCTGTGGCAGATGGGCTGCGGGGGCAAACATCGGTCATCGAAGTGACCAATGGGGGCCCCTGGGGTGACTGGGCCTGGCCAGAGATGTGTCCCAATGGATACTTTGCCAGCGGTTTTTCACTTAAGGTGAGGGCTTAGGTCTAGGCCTTGGATGGGGTGGAGATTCCAAGGGCACAGACTGAGAAAGACAGTTCTTGACTGGCTCTCACTCCTCTCTGCCACCCAGGTGGAGCCGGTTCAAGGCATTCCTGGTGATGACACGGCTCTGAACGGGATCCGGCTGCACTGCACTCGAGGGGACACAGAGCATGTCATAGAGTCCAAATCTGGAAGGTAGAGGGCAGAGGCCAAGAAGCCCCTAGAGCCGAGCTGGTGGGTGGATAATTCCTCTCTGCTCCCTGGGAAACATCCGGTGGCTATACCCAACCCACTGAGACAGTTTAGCACCTGGCCTGGAAAGTCCCAGGGTCTGGGTCGGCTTGGGGAATATAAGGGGGCCCCCACAGAGCCAGAGCGTCTCCCCTTACTTTGCAGATGGGGTGTGTGGAGTGAGCCGATGTGGTGTCCCGACAGAGGGTTCCTAGTGGCTTTTGCACTTCGCGTGGAACCAGCTTTGACTCCTGGGGACAACACCGCAGCGAACAATTTGCGCTTCCGCTGCTCAGATGGCACAGAGTTGGAGGGGCCTGGGCTGAGCTGGGGTGAATTTGGAAACTGGAGCGACTCCTGCTCCAAAGGTGTGTGTGGCTTGCAGACCAAGATTGAGGAGCCTAGAGGCTTCCATGATGACACTGCACTTAATGACCTGCAATTATTCTGCTGCCGAAGTTGAAGTTCTTCCTGCTCTCTTTCAGGCAGGGATGCTAGACACCTCCTACTACAGTCCCAACTCCCACCATTAAAAATTCTCAGTCTTGACTTTGGTCTCACTTGTTTTAGGGAGGGGAAATTGCCTATCCTTTTTCCCTCCTTACCTAGCACCGGGCCAGACCTAGATTCTGGTTTAGTCTCCAGGGTCCATGGCAGGTTATGGGCCCCCAGTCCAGAAAAAAGTACTTAAACACGAGATCTTTTGGCTAAGTGAAGGAAGACCTGGCTTTCCGAGGACATCTGGCCCATCAAGAGCACAATGCATCTTTCAGAACCATCAGTCACCTTAGATTGAGAAACTTCTGCCAAGTTAGGTGACAATGCGATATGATGATTTTAAAGCTTCATTTTCCAGAGTTTAGGAGGCTAAAATATCTTTCTTCATGCTGAAAGGAAATTTCCAGGCAGATGGATATTTTTAACAAAAAATATCTGAATTGGACAACTATGAGTTAACTCTGTTTTTAAGGGGCTGGGGATTTAGCTCAGTGGTTCTGCCACCTGCCTCACAAGCCCAAGGACCTGAGTTTAATCCCCAGTACTGGGATTTAGCTTGGTGGTTCTGCCGCCTGCCTAACTCTGTTTTTAAGCAACTATGGGTTAACTAGATAACTATGCTCTTTGTAGAATGTACCTGATTAACCACGACAATTTCTGTAATCTGTCACCAAAGGAGTGTAATGGACTCAGAAAGTCCTGCCAGAACTCTTTGCTCTGCCCCTCCTCTGCTGCTCTGCTTTGTGTAAACTCTGCTTGTTGTCTTCCCAGGGAAACTCCCAATAGAATTAAGCCTCATAGATGTAAAAAATGTCAAATAATTAATCAAACAAAGACTGACAAATATTCTGCTTCTATGTCTGTACCTCCTGCTTACAACCCTTAAAACTGCTGGCCCACTGATATTCTGGGCCTGACCTCTTTGGAAAAGATCCCAGTCAGGTCTGCCTGTGTAAATAAAGCTGTTTACTGCCTCCAAACCTTTGGGTGTTGTCTGTTTCCCAGTTTTGGTATTCTGCAACCATACCCTCACCCCCCGAAATTCACAATGTTCTTTTTTTTTTTTTTTTTTTGAGATAGGGTCTTGCTTTGTAGTTCAGGCTGGCCTTGAACTCACTGTTTTGCCCAGACTGGCTTTGAACTCATGGCGATCCTCCTGCCTCTGCCTCCCAAGTGCTGGAATTACAGGCATGCACCACCATGCCCAGCTTGTTTTTGTTTTTTGAGACAGGGTCTAGCTATATAGTCTAGGCTGACCTCAAATTTTTAATCTTCCTGCCTCAACCTCCCAAGTATTGGGTTTACAGGTATTCACCATTACACCTACCAAAGAGTGGCCTTTCTAAATAATGATTCTCATTGAAGATGTTTCTTTCCTTGCTGTCTCTCTGCCTGACATTCCCCAGTTTATCCAGATGGTTAACTCATCCATCAGATATCAGCTCCAATTTCATATTCTCAGACTTTCCTGATCATTAAAAAGTAGTCCTGGGGCCAGGGATTTAGCTCAATGGTTCTGCCACCTGCCTCAAAAGCACAAGGTCCCGAATTCGATCCCCAGTACCCAAAAAAAAAAAAAAAAAAAAAAAAAAGAGTAATCCCTCCATCAGCCAATACCATCCCATTGCTAACATGTTTTCAAAAAATCCATTTATTGAGCTGGGGATTTAGCTCAGTGGTTTTGCCACCTGCTGCGCAAGCACAAGGACCCAAGTTTGATCCCTGGTACCAAAAAAAAAAAATCCATTTATTGAACTAGTCCTCTGCTTCTTGTAAAAATTGTCCACCTCTCATCCACCTGTCATGTTGAGCTCTTGAAAAGCACAGAACATGTCTGCCTCACCACTGTATTTTCTATGCAATTTAATAGCTCAAAACTATTTCTTATGAAAATAATGTGCAGGGTGCAGGAGAATCCCAAGCCTTGGTGTATTGGGTCGTCCTCCCACAGGGCACGATGTGAGACTGGGAAGGGAGCTCAAGGCAGTTTATAGTGATAGCCAATCTGACTCCATCTTGAGCCTCAAAGCCATCTTGTACTTGTGCTTGGACAAAGCACCCCAAACCCATATCCTGCTTGGCAGAAAACTTGCTGCAGTTGCAGGATGTTTTGTAGCTCATCTAGTGTGTAAAACTTCCTTGTGCTTCCTGCCCCACTAACCTGGCATGGCTCTGCTTCTGTGAGATTCTGCTTGCTCTCCCCTTAGCCTTCCCCAACTGAAAGTATGATTTAAAAGGAGAAATCAAACCGATTCCCCTTGCTGAGAGAACTTTCCAGGCACTAGCCTCCCTCGGCCACCAGCTTAATAAACAGGCTCAAATCTGGCACAGAGTATGGCAAATCTCTATTGTTCGAAGTCGCTTGTCCATAACATATTGCAAAGAGCCAGGGAGAGGGAGGGCCCAGCAGGCGTCCATGAACAGCAGATTTAACCCAGGGGTCAGTGGATCCTCAGTTGGCAGTGCCCTACAGGAAAAGAAAGTGAGTGAGGAGGCAGCTGGGAACAAGCAAGTTCCCTGCACAACTCCACCTCACGTCGTCCCACCTTTTTCTTGCAATCGCCGCAGAAGACACCAATGATTGCATTCACCAACTGTATTCCGCAAAGTATGATCTCCAGGCATGAAGCGGCCACCAGCAAGGAGAATAGGGTCACATTCCAGGGGACCACGTTAGGTGGCTCCTCGCACAAATTCCATTGAGTATAGTTGAGCAAGTAAGCGCCTCTGTGGACGCGCAGGTCACATGAGACAAGGAGGCCACCCCTCTACCCCACCTCATCTCATGTACAAGCCAAAAGGATTTGCAAAGTGCTAATCTGGCTCACGGGGAAGCAGTTCTCTTAAACCTTGGTCTGCCCAGGTTTCTCGGCCCACATGGGAAGGGAATAGGAAGAGGGAGACGCAGAGAATGGGGGACTAAAATACAGACTAAACCTTACGAGGTTTCTTTTTAACTTTTTTTTTTTCTTTTTTCCTTACTTGGTTTCTTGAAAGTGATAGTCCCACTTGCCCTTCATTAAGCATTTGGGTCCAATTCCAAGACCGGCTCCTGACACCGAGAGACAGTAGATGGCACCAAGCGTCCCGAAGGCTGAGCAGAAGACAGAACGTAGCCTCTGAAAGCGGGTGCAAGGCGAGGTGAATGGGGCCGCCCCCTTGCTACTTGAGCTACCGCACCTAGCTGTGCCCTCTCCGACCCCTTATATTGCAAAGCACCCTTCCAGACAGTTTTAAAATATATTTCCTGGGGCTGGGGATACAGGTCAGTGGTAGAGCCCTTGAAAATGTAATTCCCGTCAAGCCCTCGGTTTGGAGTTTGGCGAACACTAAGAGCTAGGGCCGCGGGGACTCATGGGAGTTGTAGTCCCTTCTGGTCAAGCTCAGTAAGATCTAAAATTTCCTGGGCCAGGAGGGAGTGAAGTGGATGGAACCTGGGACACTGCAGGGATTCGTTGAGCTAGAAATTCTGTGAAGGGTGCTGTGTTTCCATGAGGACAGGTTAAGAGACTAGATTCTGAACACTTTCCTAATTTTGTTATTTTTGTTTATTTGGTACCGGGGATCAAACTCGGGTCCTTACGCTTGCGCAGCAGGCATCGAAACCACTGAGCTAAATCCCTGGCCCCTTAATTTTGTTACTTGTTTACCCATCTATCTTACCCTGCAGCGGTTTCCACAGCATCCTGCACCACAACAGCCCTTGCCTCCTGCTCGAAAGGCTGCAGTTCAATTCCGGGACACAGTACCTGTGGGACAAGAGTCAGTGAAATAGTGTGTCTCCCCAGATCCTCAAGGCCTTCCTTACATTCTTCATGGTTTATCTCCTCTGGGAAGGTGCCTATGATGCCTTCAGCTCTTTGAACGATAGAAACCTTATCTTTACCTCTCCCAGAGCACTATTGGGCTTACTTAATTTGTCATTATTTATGTGCTTTCTTTATTTCTATGCAAATTGCAGCTTCCTGGAGGGTAAGGTCCAATATTATGTATTTCCCGAAAATCTTCACACATAGTAGGTATGCAGGTGTCCAACTGAAAGGGAGCCAGGAGGCTTGGATTGAAAGCCAAGCAGGTACTACTTCCTTCTCCATGAATTGACTGGTTTCTCCAGGTCTGAGTTTGGTCCTGTGTAAAATGAGTAAGACCTACCTCACAGGACTATTCTCCAAATTTGAGGAGATAGCAGGTTGATGGGTGTCAAGACTAGTTCAGAGTAAATGCACCATCAGTATAAATATCTTTAGCAGGGGGAATGGACAGTGCTGTTGGAGGGTCTGGTGAGCTAGGTTTATGACAGATTGTGGACCAGTAGTTTGTAGATGCTCTGATGTAGAGTGTAAGATTTCCTCAGATCTAGTCCTTGATTTTTTTTTTTTTCTCCCAGTGGTCTTTCTCACATGGTCCACTCCCTCCCAGGAATCAGCTGTTCTCTCTGCTCACAGTTGCTTCAGATGCCTGGAAATCCAAATCTAACTGCTTGACATATTCACTCAAATTTCTTGGTTTTAGCTCAGATTGAGCCTACCTCATAATAGTCCCCAAATTCATCATCTCCCTTTGACTTTCTTTTTTTTTTTTTTTTAAGGCAAAGTCTGCCTGTGTTGTCTGTGTTGGCCAGGTTTGTTTCTGTTGTTTCAGTCTTCTGGCTGGTTTACCTATTTAAATTTTTTTAAAAAAATTTTTGAGTGGGGGATATAGTTCAGTGGTAGAATGCTTGTCTACCTTGTGCAAAGGCTTGGGTTCAATCTTCAGAAGCTCAAAAATACATTTATAATAAATAATATTTTATTTTGGGCATAGTGGCGCATGCCTGTAATTCCAGCACTTGAGAGGCTGAGGCAGGAAGATCACTGAGTTCGAGGCCAGGCTGGGGTACATAGTGACCTTGTCTTAAAAAAACAAACTGAACAAACAAAACAACAACAAAAGAGAAGTGCACATGTATGTTCACCTAACGACAGCTAGGAATGTTCATAATAGCAATAAACCCAAATTGGTTTCAAATGTCCATCAACCTTAGAATTTTTAAATAAATTGAGATATATTCTCACAATGGAATGCATAAGAAATAGAAAAAAACTATAGCAACACATAATAATAATAATAAATATATATATATAAAAATTTTATTTATTTATTTAGTTTTGGTACCCAGGATCTCAACTTGGGTCCCTGTGCTTGCGCAGCAGGCAGCGAAACCACTGAGCTAAATCCCTGGCCCTGCACATAATAATATAGATGACTCATAAACTTCATACTAAATTAAAGAAGCCAGACACAAAAGAGCACATTTTTTTTTTTGGTACCAGGGATCGAACTTGGGTCCTTGCACTTGCGCAGCAGGCAGCGAAACCACTGAGCTAAATCTCCGGCCCAAGAGCACATTCTTAATCTTTTTACTGATATAGGTACTAACCAGGCCAAACTAGTCTGTGGGGTTAGAGTAGAAGACAGGATAACGGTTAACCTTGTTGGAAGTGGGTAGTCCTGGTAAAAGGCATGTCTAGAACTCTTGTACTGATTCATGACCAGGGTTCTGGGGACATAGATATGTTCACTTTGTAAGAATTCACCAGGCTAGGGCTAGGAGTGTAGCTCAATGGCACAGTGGGAGCTTAGCATGCCCAAGGCCCTCCCTGGGTTCAATTCTAAGACAGAAAAAAAAAAAGTTATAAAATGTCAAAAAAAGGGGAAATGTTTTCAGTAGTTTCCTACTTCAGATTATTCATTGTGCCTTTAAAGGGTGACGTGGTCTGGTCTCTGCCCACCTCAGGCCTCATCTCATTAAATGTCAGCTACACTGGCTGCCGATCTGATCCTCAGATCTGTGGAGCTCCTGTTTGCGACTTTCCTGCCTTCTTTGGTCATTCTGTATGTGAGCTTAGACATCCTGTAATATGGGCCTTCCCTGGAAATGCTATGCTATGTGGTCCTGGCTGGAGGTATAGCTCAGTGGTGGCACACGTACTTAATATCCACAAAGCCCTGGGTTCAATCCTTAGTGCACACACACACACACACACACACACACACACACACACAGGCTGCCCCCACTTTTCACTAGAAGCTCTTTATTTTATAATTATACCTACTGCAATCTGAACTGTCTTGATTACTTATTTCCTTAATTCATTCAGTGACTATTAACCAGGTGCCTGTTAGGTGGAAGCACTGTTGTAGATACCAGGCACACAGCAGCCAATGTTTCAGGCACTCCTTGCTGTCATGAGGCTTCCAGTCTTTTTGCCTTGGGACTGTTTGCTTCATCAATGGGAGTGCAGCTTCAGGGAGAGCAGGGGGCAGGGACCTTGTCTATGTCCTTGTGGACTAGTGTGGCACCTCTTGAGAGTGACAGTAGGTGAAAGGGAGGAACAAGGCAGCTGTAGATGAGGATGTTGAATGTGCAGGTGTGGAGATCTCTCCTGAAGCAGACTAGTTAGGCTGGGTGGATGAGTGGGGGGAAGTTTAGGCTGGAGAAGGGGCACAATGTGGCATTGGGTGAGTGTAATAAGTACTTGGGAGAAGTGTGACATCTCTGAGGCAGTGGAAGGCAAGGTCAGAGATGGAGTAGAATCCAACAGCCATGAATCTATGCAGGAGGTGGGAAGTAGAAGAGATGTCAGAAGGTAAGAGGGGTTGTTGGTTAAAGGAGAGCTATCCCCAATTAGCTAATAGAGGTGTGACTAGCAAAAGGGACAAAGGTAAATCTCTCCCAGAAGATTTAATGAGCCAGTTGTCCTGAGAATTCAGGAACTGTGCTGGGTAATTTTTTTTTTGGTACAGGGGCTAGAACTTGGGACCTTGTGCTTGCGAGGCAGGCAGTGGCACCACTGAGCTAAATCCCCAGGCCCCCTCCCTTTTAATTTTGAGACAGCCCCATTAAGTCACAAAGTTGCCTCAGCTGGCCTGGAACTTGTGATCTTCCTGCCTCAGCCTCCCGGAGAGCTTGGATTACAGGGATAAACCACTAGCTCAGCTAGATCTCTCCTCTTTTCCCCATGAAGGTGTTGCAGTAGGTTGACCATCGAAAAGTTTTAAATGAGGAGAGAGTTGGAAGGTAGGGCTTAGGAAGTCTGGTTATTATTCCTCTTCCCCCATTTCTCCTGCTAGATTCTAGTCTCCAGAAGACATGAGGGCTCCTTTCCTGCCATACAGACCTGGGTTGTGAGCTTCTTATCCTTAGCACTCAGCAAAGAGTGGGCACCAAGAAGTGTGGGCTGAGGGTGGCTGGGTGTGGAGGAGGGGGAGACCCAGAGCTGATACGTAGAGTGGCTATTCTGTGGTGTCACCCTGGCTCCAGGCATTTTCAGTCCCCCCTCCATGGCCCCTATTACCCGATCCTTGTAACCTCCCACACAACCAGCTGCTCCTTCTGCTACTAGTCTTGTAGTGAGGTGTTCCCAGCAACTGCTTAAGAGTGGATACAGAGAGGAGCAGGTAGGACATGCTCCCACCGAGAAGGGAAGCTCTTCAAAGACTTGAAGCTCCTTCCCCTTCCCCTCAAAGCTTCAGCTCCAGGTGCTAAGACTCCTCCAGGACTGTCCACAGAGTGCTTAGCATGTAGGAGCAGATTGGGGGTGCTTCTAGACCCCAGCAAGCCCTTCTCATCCCCTCCCAATCCTTTCCCTCTCCCTCCCTGTTCTGTCCAGCACCCTATAGAGTGGCACCAGGTCCCTGGCCCATGCTCCAGCCTTCTCACCATCAAGCCACCACCGATGAAGCCAGCCATGAGCCAGACTTGCAAGCTGAGATGATCATTGGTCCAGGTGGTCTTCCCGTCAGGCACCACAGGAGGGCATTGGCCACAATGCAGACCAGGGAGAGAAGGATGAGTGAGAGGCCCACACAGCGGGCACACTTTCCTATGCACATGGTGAGATGTCAGAACAGGCAGACAGCGAGTGAAAGTGAGCTGGAGGTTCCTGGGTCCAGAGGGAACAGGCTGGAGCAGCGCAAAGGTTGGGGAAAAGGTGTGGCAGAAGCTGGCAGGGTCAGAATGATAAGGGAGAGAGGCCCTGGGGAGGTGGCGGTAGAAGGACCACAGTTCAGGAGGCAGAGGGGAGGATGTGGTGATAGAGGGGGAGCTTGTCACGTAAAGGAAGCTGCTGGGGTCGGTGTCCTCTTCCTCTCTGTCTGCATGCTCCTCTCCTTAGGCCCTCCTGAGTTCCTTACCTGTCTGAAGACTTAGCCAAGCCCCTGCACAACTCTCAGTCTCTATTGTCTCCTCTCTGTACAGAGTGATGTGATGCCACATGGGCTGGTTGTAAGGATTCAACAGGACAAGGTGACAAGTTTTTCGTTTTTGTTTTTATTTTTTGGAGACAGAGTCTTGCTATGTAGTTCAGGCTGGCCTTGAATTCACTATGGAGCCCGGGCTTGCCTTGAACTCATGGCAATCCTTCTGCCTCAGCCTCCTGAGTGCTGGGATTACAGGCATGCACCACCACACTTGGTTTATGACAAGTATTTTGTAAGGTAGGAAGCATGAAGCAGATGCACAGTGGTCTCATTATTTCTATTTGTCCCACAGAGTTCTTCCTAGAAAGAAACTAAAAAGATGGTAATAGGCTTTTGTTGTCTTTTCATTTCTTCTTCTGAACATTTGTTGCATCACTCCTGTTGAGGAGCAGTCCATCCTCTAGTCTCAGTGTTTGATGCAATGATGGCTATATGATCTAGGCCAGGCCCATGATAATCATTTTATTTTTTGGGCACTGAGGTCCAGGAAGATCTATTTTTGTTGAGATACTGTAGTTGCTTGTGGGCTGTTGTCACCATGAGAGAGGGCTCACCTATTGGAGTATGAAATGAATACAGAGGAAAGAATAAGAGATGAATAGAGTAAGTCTTATCAACATAATTTGAACCTGAAGATCCAGCCAGTCCTGAAGCCTGATCATTCTTTGAAACACTTTGATTATGTGAACTGGTTTGGATCTTGTTTCTGTTAACTGCAAGGTAAAGAGTTGAGTTTTCTGCTTTTTTGAGACAGAGTATTGCTATACAATCCAGCCTGGCCTTGAACTCACTATGTAGCCCACATGGGCCTCAAATTCACAGTCCTCCTGCCTCAGCCTCCCCAGTGTTGGGATTTATAGGTATGCATTGACATGCTTTCCAAGAGTCAGTTATGATTCAGTAATTAATTAAGCCTTTCCTTTCTTAGGACTTTGTGCAGGAGACTATAGGGGTTTATAGTTGTAGAACTGAGACCCAAGTTGGTCTTGGGCACAAAAGGAATATGAAAACACCTGCAGCATTAGCCCTCCAACCAGGCAGCATGTGGTATGCCATGGGAGAGATAAAGTAGCAGGAAGTACTGCAGGACCTCACAGGGCACATGGTGAGGATGTCACACAGAAACGTATCCTGCCAGGGCCCTTTGGTGTAGTGTCTCCAAAGGCCCACTCAATTATGTACTGCAAACATGTACTAATAAAAATAAGATTTAAAAAGAAACAGAGGAAAAAACCCCATAAAGGCCCACTCAAACCACTACAAAGACATGGAAAATGGAGAAAACATAAAAAATAAATGCCAGAATCTGGGAGGAATCCTTGCTATGTATAAGACAGAAGAACTGGACGGAGAAAAAGCTATGAAGAATTTACTCGTTAAGTAAGAGAAGACCTGAAAAAAGAAAATACTTTGAACTTTCCTTGACTGTTTGCCTCTGACTCATAGACAATTATTGTGGTAACTGATATTTGGTTTTGCTTCTGTTAGCTTCTTTAATGCTTTTAAAATATTTCCATGTTGGTTCTGATATTTTCTGTCCTTTTTGCTTAAAGTTTTCACATTCTCCCCTGTTTGGGGGGATACATTTTAAATCTGAGTAGTGGTTACTTTTAAGGATTCAGCATGCTTCCACTGTGCAATTCTACTGCTTTGAGTAGTGGATACTTTTAAATATTGCAAACAGTGTCCCTGAACTTGTCACTCTGCCTCTCTTACAAACCCATTTCTTGTCATCCTTCAGCCTCTTTTGAGGGGTTATGTACAAGTGGTTTACTATGCCTAGAGTCATCCACCTGATGATGTGATCCTGTAGTAAAAATGGAACTGTCGCTCCAATTCCTCAGTCCTCTCTGAATCCATGTCCTTTGCCTTGTTGTTCTGTAGTCCTTTCTGCTAGAGATAGAATGTACCTGCCATATGGACAGGATGGACTGTTGCCAGAATTGATAAGATCTTGGTTCTAAGCCTAGGCCTGAAGAAGTACAGTACTGTGTGTTGCTGCTTGCCACTAAGTTTGCTATGAGAAGAATGTGCCTGAGTTAACCCACTGATAAAAAGAAGGTATAAAGTACTAGAAAAAGGCTCAGGTTCAATCCCAACCTAGATCATATTGACCTCCAATCAACCCATATATGTGTGAGTGAAAGAAATATTCACATTTCTATGCCACTAAGACTGGGAGGGAATTGTAACACAGCAATAGCTGCCTAACACAGACCCCATTATCCAAATCACAGCCAAGTGACTGAGGAAAAAACAGTTGAGTGAAAGGCAGACATGTAGCCACAGACCTATGAGGTGGGTTGAGCTGAGAGCTCTGCCCAACAGAGGTACTGACTGCATGACTGACCAACCAGTCGGATCTTCATCTGTGGGAAATCTGTTTGTAAGACAACTTGAGAGAGGATTAGAGAATAAGGTAGTCCAGAACTGAGAGACAGATGAAGAAGGAAGTGACCAAAAGCCACAGGCTACTGAAATAATACATGAGCAGAAGCTGCAGCAAGAGAACTGTGCGGAGAGCTGCTATTTGGAAACAGTGCAGGAAAAAGCAGCACAAGGACTGGGAGGCTGAGATGCGGAGTTTGCGTGCTGGGGCGCAGGGAGATGAAGAGGTAAAGATGATAAGTAGTATGCTTCTGGGGTGCCAGAACAGATGTTGAGCTACTAGAGCAAATGCCACGGCCCAAATAGTGGGTCTTCCCACTATAGACCTGAAGGGACGGGGGCTCAGCCTTTGGCCCACTGAGCAGAGAATTGGCTAAACGCAGCCCATGTGTTTGTCCAACAAGTTGATCAATAGAATCTGAAGCTGGCCACAGGGGTGCACCCCTGTAATCCCAGCACTCTGGGAGGCTGAGGCAGGATTGCAAGTTTGACATCAGCCTGGGCAACTTAACAAGATTCTCCCTCAAAATAATAAAAAAAAATAAATTCAAGGGCCAGGAATATAGCTCACTGTGGGTTCAATTTCCAGTATTGAAAAAAAGCAAGCAAGCAAGCAAGCAGGGAAGAAAGAAAGAAAGAAAGAAAGAGGAAAGTCTGAGGCTGGCTTACACAACTTAGTGAGACTTATTCTCACAATAAAATAAAAAGAGCTGAGGATGTAGGTTGGTACTTGCATTAGTCAGCTTTTTATCACAGAGACCACATAAAGGAGGAAGGACTTATTTTGGTTCACATTTCAGAGATTTCAGTCCATGATCGGGTGGCTCCACGGCAGAAACAGTAGAAGAGCACAGTAAAGAAAAACTGCTCACCTCATGGCAGCCAGAAAGTAGAGTGACAGGGAAAGAGCCCTACAGAAGAGATACCCTTCAAGGACACACCCTTGTGACCTACTGTCTCCAACTTGGCCCCACTAGTTCTTTTATCCAGTGAAATCATCAATGGGTGAATCCATTGATCAGGTCAGTGCCTTCATGATGCAATCACTTCTCAAGGCTGTACCTCTGACCTGCATTAGGAATCAGGCCCTCAATACAGGAGTCTTTTTTTTTGAGTTAAGAATGCACTTTTTAAAGAAAATATTTTTTTCCCTTAAATTCTTTTATTGGTACATTTTAGGCATACAGTACATTTACATTTATCATTGGGTGCTTGTATCTGTACATGATATACCTTAGTTTTTATTTTTTCCCCATTCCTTGTCCTCCCTTCACCCCCTCCACCCTTCCCTATTTACAAAGACTTTATTTCCATTTTTTCCTTTTCTCATAATTTTTCCTTTCCCTTCTTTCCTTTCCCCTTCCCCTCCCCTACCCCTTTGTTCCTTTTCTTCCTATTTCAAATTATCAATTATTCATTTTAATCATTTTGCTGTATGATTTTTTTTTTTTTCCTGGTACTGGCAATTGAACTCGGGACCTTGTGCTTTCAAGGCAGGTGGTGGGCACCACTGAGCTAAATCCCCGGCCCTCATTTTAATCATTTTAATCCTTATTTACACTTTCAGTTTCTCACACCAGAGGAACTATTCGGTATTTACACATGTGTGTCTTATTTTTTTCATTTAAGAGTATGGGCTCAATATGTATCCATTTAGCCATAAATGTCTCTAGTTTGTTGTTCTTTATGGCTGAGCAGTACTCCATTTTATAAAAACCCCCACATTTTCTTTATCCAGTTTCCAGTTCATGGGCACTTGGGCTGTTTCCAAACTTTAGCTATTACAAACTGTGCCGCTATAAACATGGGTGCACATATATAGCTGTGGTATGATTCTTTTAATTTTTTTTTTTTTTTTGGTACTGGGGATTGAACTCGGGTCCTTGTGCTTGTGGGGTAGGCGGCAGAACCACTGAGCTAAATCCCTGGCCCCTGATTCTTTTAATTCTTTTGGGAAGATCCCCAGCAGGGGAATAGCTGGGTCAAATGGGACCTCTAGCCCTAGTTCTTTGAGGTGTCTCCATACTGATTTCCACAATGGTTGCACCAGTCTGCACTCCCACCAACAATAGAGAAGGGTTCCTTTCTTCCCACACCCCTGCCAACATTTATTATTGGTTGATCTCTTGATAGCAGCCATTCTTTCTGGGGTGAGGTGGAATCTCAGTGTTGTTTTCATCTGCATCTCTCGAATGACCAGTGATGTCGAACATTTTTTCATATGTTTATTTGCTGCTTTTACTTCT